AAGTTTTAGACAGGCTGGGATTGTACAAGACATTCTAGACAGGAGCGTCACTTAGGGAGCTGCAAAGCTACCTGATGGCTTGTATTTCCCACCACAAGTACATCCCTGGCCTTTAAAGGAAACCCCTGAAAACTCTGTTCCTCAAGGCAAGGAAATAAACACCTCCAATAGTTGAGGTGAAATGTGTCATCACCTGCAGAGTACGTAACAGTCCCAAAACAGAAGATACCCCTCAGCCAAGGGAGCTGTTACCATTTTCCAAAGGAAGAGGATGGAGTTAAGGCTTGCAGGAATCAAGTCAGAAGCCCAATGCAGAGTAATTTAACAGAAGAGATATTTCCATCTGCTCCAGACTTGCTCTTTCAATATTTCATGACTTTCAATATTTCATTGTTTTAAAAAAAAGAGCAATTCCACCACGTCCCCAGTTTCCCACGCTACAGTCTCATCAGTCCCCTGGTTTCTCCCCCATGAGCATTCCTGGATACACAGATGATTTTCTTGAAGCTAAAATGACTGCCAAGACAAAGTGTTGTTTTAAACATGTTTTAAAAAAATTGACATGTTTTAAATTTATTTAAAAGCAGAAAACCAACCTCTTATTTCTTCCTTAAGTCTCCATAAATGCAAAGCATTCAGGAGTGACATAAGGTACATAAAAACCTGAAAAAGCAACACTGAATTCCAAGAAATTTACACTTTGTTGATCTAGCAGCCTTCCCTCCTATCACTGCTTATGCACTAAAAAAAACCAAAACAGGCTCTGGGTAGAAATGTAACTTAAAACAATGGGAAACAGAAAAATTACTGAATCTGAAAAATCATGATCTAAGAATTAAAGATGATTTAAATAATCCTGAGTGACCACTGCAAAGAAGAAAAAAGTCCAGGTTAGCAGCTGTTTCTCTACACAAATGGAACCATTCAAGTTATTTATCCCACCTACCTCAAAACAATGAACAAACCACTTCATTTGCTGTTGAGCTCCTTTTTAGGAGACTGGCCTCTATAGATGAAGGTTTTATGAAAGACCCAGGTGCTAGTACTAGAAAGTAGTTTTTGAAGAAGTTTAAGATGCAGGAACAAGTTTGAAAAAAATAGCATGAAGAACAGCTGAATTATCAACTATTTCAGAACATCCTCTACAACAAAAGTATCTCCAATCAAAATCAGTTTAATGCCTCTATTTATTCCCCCCCTCCAGGAGTCTGACATTTTAAAAAAAAAAATCCATAATGTGAAAAAACCTTCATGCCACCCCCACCCTCATGGAATTATTACATACTCACCTAATGGTATCTGTAACACAAAGCACAACAAATGGATACTGATTCTGCCTCGCCAAGATGAGAAATGCAGACACATGAATTACACCAGGGGTTTTTTTAAAGACTTTTCCATTTTTATAATAATTTTTTGCTACACAGGTAAGAAGATTTATACAACAAAATTTTCAACTGAAAATACTTTTTCACAACAGCAGAGCAAGCAGTAACTGCCACGTGTGCATTTCACAGTACATCACTATCTAGTACAAAGATGGACAATATCACAATCAAGATCAGACACTCTCCTCTGCTTATCTGCTGTCCAATCTCATTCCATGGCAATGGAAGAGTTATCTTTGCAAATGAGTTCACAAATCAAACCTCTACAGCTTATAGGTTCTGCATAGAAATCTCCATCCCTGCAAGACGGTAACAAGACTATTTCAGCACAGTTTCCTCAATAGTTCAACTATTTAACACGTGGTCACTAAGATCTACACAGATATGCACACAGGTACAGATGTCAGTACTGTAACAAAGAGTGAGTCTGCATTCATAGATGTAGATCACTTCAAGTCTCTGCTACACATTTGAAGATGGACACTGACCAATTGTCTCCGCTTTAATTCCCTTGGAACTGAGTTAGCATACGTGAGGGAGGTACGTATCACAAGCTGCTAGCAGCCTTTGAGCATGACCTGGAATACACAAGGGTAATACCGATATTCCTCACTACTCGCCTTTTTTTTTTCTTCCTCCCCTAAACCAGACTTGCAAGTAGGAAAGAAGAACCTAACGCAGTAATTTAATAAGCTAACTTTTACAGCCTGACTCCAGATAGTACCTTCCTCCAGCACAACACACACAGACTCATTCTTCCCACAGCAAGAAAAGACAGAGGCATTTTCTGCAGAGGTCCATTCCTGTGGGCACACAGCTGGCATGCCTGCTCCTGCCCCCATTCTTTCAATAGGGAACTGTGGTCTGTTTCAAAGAATCTTGTCATCTTTTACCAAAGGCGAAAGCTACCCCTCCCTTCCGAGAACAATGGCTTCAATGACAATTAAGTCCAAAAATCCAGGCCCAGCACACCAGTCACTGCTTTGCCTTTTTCACAATGGTGCCAACAGCTGATATGACTGTAGTTTTGGATCCACTTGCGCTGGTTGTCACTGTGACAACGCCTGGCAGTGTTGCAGTAGTGGTGAGGATGGTGGGCTGAGCTATCGTCGTTACAGGGATGGCCGAGTCCCACTTGCTCTTCCTCTTCTGGGCATCTATGAATTTGATTAGATCAAGCAAACGACGATTAGCATTATGTTAAAGGTCACCAATCCCTTCGTAACACCCTGTCTTGTCAACTGTTAATATACCACGCCTTGACTAGACAACTTTCCCTTGCATTAATTTCAGCATACACTGGCAGTAAACGTTGAGGAGGAAAGACAACTTTATACCTCAAGAGTAAAAGTAAAACTCCACACCTGAACTCCAGCCAAATGGGAGACGGGTTCACTCCCTGCCCCAAAGCATATTTAATTTTAACAGAGCACACGGATCTCAGTTGCTCAGGTACAGGCACAGGCCACGCTCAGCCTCCAGTGTTTTTTTTCTCCCTTCCTCCCAGTTTAAAAGGCAGGCTGTAGGCAGGAGAATGATTTTCAGTCTTTCCGAATCTCTTGAGATGCATCAGTCCCAAGAACACTCCACAACCACAGACATCAGCAGGTTTCTTGACCCACTAATAAATCTCTTCACTATCCCACCTGTCCCTAGTCTTTCATTCCAGAAGGACAGCCATAGGATATAGGGACTAGAGGAAAGCTAGTCCGTCAAACCCTAGAAGAAATACTTTCTTGCATTATATACACAAACAATAAGGAGCCTTCAGGGTTTCCAGGAAGCACTAATCCCAGCATTACTGCAGCTTAATAGGTAGAATCACAACTGTTCTTTACCTCCCACAGTGGTACTGGCTGTTGTGGTTGTTGTAGAGGCGGCGCTTGTTGTCGTACCCTTTTTAGTGCCAGTCACAAATTCAATCTGGGAAGGGACAGATGCATAGGAGAAAAGGGAGGAGATAAAAATGAAGCGTTAATATACACAGTCTTTTTTTTAACCCACATTGCCTCTCTGTGTTTAAAGAACAGCTTTAGTGTCATGTGAGACACTGGCCTCCAAGCTGACTGTCATGCAGGAAGAAAGATGTAGACCTCAGGCCAAAGCGTACCGAAGTCATGATCATTAAGGATTCCTGCAACTCATCTCCTAAGTCAGATACAATAAAAATGTGTTTGTTAACTGGTACAAGCATAGGAATTTGATATAGCTCAGAAAGGACAGATCCTGGTCATTAAAGAATGTATTTATACAGTTAGAAGTTCTTGTTCTTTTTCCTTTAAGAAACTTGCAAGACAAGTCCCTACCTGCACAATTTACTGCAACTGCATCATAGCAGGAAACCTAGCAACAAGAGCTACAACAGCATGCAGTCTCGTATTTTCAAAACTGCAGATATGGGCAAGGATGTAATCAGATACCTGGGTTACTGTGCAAAAACCAAAACAAGTAGCAAGACACAGCATGCATTGCTAGAAAAAAATACCTCCACATACTGAATATGGAAGGAGCCTTCTGCAAGGTTGGATGGCAATCTCTAACATTAGACAGTTTTCTAATGCCTGTCACTAGCTAAAAGGCAACACCACTAAACGACAGGAATAAAATCTTCCAAAGCCTGCCTGTGTTCTTTTTTGGGGGTACATAAGAACATACATTTTTGTGACAAGCCCAGTTAAAGTTAAAATAGGCCCAACATTTCTGGAAATTAGATGCAAGAAGGCAATATCAAGGAGAACAGAAAGCAGGTATTGTCTCACAGTGAGATATGGTGAGGAAATTAAGCTATAACTAGGCTATGCCACCAGGCAAAGTGTCACAGACTAAGAAAAAAAAGCTGTTCTTTATGCATTGTCTTGCCTGTATCTGGCCTGCTGAATACCATTTTAAGAGCTCTGGTTTAAAAATACTGACAAAACAGAAGGAAATCCAGTCAAATAAACAACGTAGAGAAATGGACCTGTAAGAAAGGGCAAACAACTTGATCTGTGCAGCTTGGAAAAAGACATGCCAGAAGAAAGGACAGAACCAGGGAAGAACAAACAGTATTAGCACAGAGCACAATTCATAAGAAACAGCAAAGCAACAAAATGAAATTCAGCAGGGAAACAAACAAAAACCCTGCATCTCAGTCTCTTTTGGTTTTGAATAGCTACCTTTGTGCGTTCCTTCTTGGCCTTCTCCAATTTGTCCATTTCAATCTTCTGGGCTTTAGCTGAGAAAGATCAGAAGTTACAAGAAGCACTAGAACAGTAAAAATCCATAGTTCTCTCTCACTCACACACTTCCCATCATAAACAATCAAAAACAACATATTGTGTATAGAAAATTAAACTGCCATGAAACTACTGCTTTTTAATCAAAGCATTACTGCACTAAAGTAATGATTTAAGAGATTAAAACATTGAAGAACCAATTTAAATGAAAAGGCTTTCCAGACTGATGAAGCATCAATAACATTCAGGCACATCCAACCAGAATGAAGTAGTTAAGAGCAGCATGTGATGACTTCTCATTTATAAAGGAAGCGAAGACTCTAGTGCAGTTAATTAACTAAAAAACACAAAGAGCTAAGTTAGGACAAAAGAAGACTTCCTGGAATTACCTAGTGCCTCATAGTATGAATCCTCTGACCAGCCATGAGGATCAAACATGTCCTAAAGAAGAAAAAAAATCAGTCAGATTAGGGCTATTTCCACATAGACACAAAACCCAGTTAAATGTTTTATGTATTTCTGTTCACTGATGATATTCATTTCTGATTTCTTCTTGTATTCCAGTGACACAAAGATCACATCAGACCTTCTTTTATAGGACCACGTTCTGTTGTGAATGAAAAAACAGCTTTGAAGCTAAAAGGATGCTGGGATAAGACATGTATTTTTCTGCTGCTCGGCTACTATGCCCCCCAAGAGTTTCATGTATATCTACACACTTCAGCAGTTTTTGTTCAGAATCATTATAGCAAAGGTGGAGGCACTGAGGCTCAGTACCACACAAAAATGTTCACTTCAATGCAGAAGATCAGACTAAAGTTCCCTTAAAGAACCTCTAAAAAAGCAGGCTCAAGAAAGCCTGAGGTAAGAGCTCACACCCCTATATTACCTTTTACCCGCTCCCTTGCCAGTCAAAAGTATTGCACCTCACCTTTGGGTAATTCGTACCGAGTTCATCAATTGAACAAAACTGGATCAGCTTTTCATAGATGCTGCAAAGGAAAGACAGGAGTTCAGAACAGAGCCAGTGAGCCAGAAGTACAAGGAAGTATTTCAGATTTGTTAGTAGAAAGAGGCTGTCACCTCTTCACACTGCAAGAGTAAAATCAGAACCTGGGAAGCTACGCTTGCTATGATGGATGTGGCATGCCATTAACCACATTATTTTCCACTTCCCCCAAATTAATCTCCCAGCTCCCAGAACAGACACATCTTCTAAAATACTTCATCCAAAGCCTGTAGATTTAAAATCTAACCAACACACCAACTCTAGTTGTTGCCTCACAGAACACAAAGAAGAGTTTTACTGTTTCAGTTACAAAAATGAGAAAGACAATTTGATTGTAAGCAGTAGTACTTCTTGCTCAGGATCCTGCTTTTGCTACAACTCCAACAAAGCGGAAAATTCTTGGAATTTGCTGTGTGGTGCTTTGGTCACACAGGAAAAGATGGTGGCTCACCTGGGGTTGCGGAACTCCTTCTTCCTCTGAATGATGTAGTTCATATCCATGCCCTCTTTTATTTTCCTCTCATATAGCTTTTGAATTTTATCCTAAGGGAGAAAGATTACAGGGTGAGCCAGTACGAAAAGGAGGAGCACACCAGCTATCAAAAGCGTACATGTGGAAACAAGCCAACTGAACCAGTGACTTCCTTGCATGGAGCAAGGATTCCACCTCTCCCCTAAGGCCAGGCAGGCTGGTTAGTACAGACACTCCCTCCTTTAAGGTATGAAAGTGTCTTCATGAACTGTCTGGATGGGTAAGAGAACTGATCTTTGCACTTTCTGAAGGCTTCAGTGATTATAAAGATTTGCACTTGTGGCAGCAGTGCACAGTTCTTCCTCTCAGTCTGTTTATAGCCATGACTGTAGAGAAGTAGAAGCCAGCTCCAAGAGGGACAGGTGAAATCCACAAAGGTTATCCCATGACTTACAGTGACCATCACACCCACCTCCACACTCAGTCATGCACGTGAAAAACAGCTGCTGGCTACACTGTGCAGAAGCAAGGCTCATGGCTATGCCTGGGTAACAGACGAGCAGAGCCAAGATCTGCTGGAGAATGAAAACCAATGTGATCATCAGGTACTGCTGGTCGCGTCTACTGGCAGCCAAACACTCTTAGGAACAATGCACTTGAAAATCCCTGCTTCGGCACAAGTGACCACTTAGATGGAACCAGCTTCTCTTTGCAGATCACTCACATAGTTACGAAGTCTATGGATATGTTACTGAAGCCACGAGCCCCTGCAAAAGGCAACTTAACTGACTCAGGTTGGAAATGTCAAGCAGTCTACTCTCCAAAAAGACTGAAAGATTTAAAAATAAACATGATTTTTTTTCTTCCTCAGCAAGGTAGTGAAAGATCTTAAAAGTATTTTTACTCTGGTGATGCTGAAGGGATAACAAAAGCAGAAACTTTCAGATGGAACATATACTTAAGTGGTACTACTGGGAGAATATTCTCAGTAATTTCCTTCATCTTTTCATTTTCACACAAATTTCTCATGTACAAGAGGCATATAAAATAAGACCAGAGGCTAGGCCTTCAGTTTTTCAGGATGGGAGAGTTGAGTCAATTTTCCTTTGTTGCTTCTGGATAAGTCACTTCATGTCTCCCTCTGTATGGACAGTCAACTCAAATACAGAACTCACTACTGTCTAAGGGTTTGCTGAAGCCGGAATAAAAGAGGATTGTTAAGAGCTGATATGAAACTCCTATTTCATGAACTTTAAAAAAGCTTTATATGGTAAATTTTCATCAGGACCTCACAAAATTAGCAAGAAGAAATTATACAATCTCCACATCCAGTGCGCACATCGTGAGGTTTGAAAGAACAACTGCAAAAAGGTGAATTTGGGGAGTAGAAATGGTTGAATAGGTGTTCCCTTTTGTCCTCTTCCCATGGAGGTAGCTCTATGGTTCACAAAGTCCACAGATGGGGAACTACTCAGTCAAATTTCTTCTTTAAGAAGAAATACTCCCTTTGGCAGAGTTCAAGCTACAGTTTATTAGAGGAAGAATCTGACAAAAGGAAAGAGCAAATCAACAGTGAAAAGCCAAGAACATTTTGCATCTCTAAAGAATAATCCCATCTCCTTGCTCAAAGTGCTCTAAGATGTGGTTTGACCTGCTAACAGAGGACAAGTCCTCCTTTGATTTAACCTAGTAAACTGCTGTCAAAGGGGAAGAAAATCTGCTTTATTCTGTCTACTCTCTCAAGCTCTGTACATTCCTCAGATCTAACGCGCTCTAATTCATTGATGTCAGAACAGTAAAATCCTCCTACAGCAGAAGAGGAGGAATGGGTGCGCCCAGGTACACTGTGCAGAGAAGAAGAAAGCGTGATCTGGATGGTGAGTCATTCTGAATCACCATTGCACATTAGTAGCTTACTTTACAGAGCATTCCAGAAGTGATTCTTTACTTTTACTTCTACTGGGCAGATAACTGCAGTTAAAATTCAAATGGGTGGTAGGAAACAGCAGTCCCTGCTCTTTCATTTGCCCTCCATCAGGAGGAGGAAAACAGAGGAGAAGGTTATTGGAAAGTTGGTTACTGCAATTATTTGGGTGTGCACCAGAGAAAACATGCATTTGTTTTCTTTTGCTGCCTCTAAGTTACCAACCTTCCCTCTAAGTGTTTATCATCCAGAGATATGTAGGTGGAAAAGGAATCCAGTCAATGCTGCCTCAACTATTCCAGTTAGGGGATTCTCAGGCCCGTATAGAAAAACAATGATTTGTTCTTTCCTACAGAACTGAATTTGCTGAGGCAAGAGGATAGCAGCCTTCACAGTAAACATTGCTTCTGTGTCACTGGTGGAATCAAGACCCGTTTTAACGCATAAGTGACCCACAGAGACTGGAAAACAGCTTTAAGCTACTTTGAGATTCCTAAATTAGAATTGCTGTGAAGTCTAAAGCATTAACACAGTGCATTCATAAACTCAGCGTGGTAAAAACCAGCTTTAATGCGGGATTTTTGACTTGTGCAAAAATACTGAGCAGAGTTCCCAAATATCCCCCCTCTCTACTGAATTGCAAGCCTTTTAAAAAAATAAAGTGGACTTATACCAACCTGCAAGTGGTTAGAACATCTGCCAGGAGGCTCAGGAGGGATTTTGATCTCATCTGGAGACATGTTCCGCACTCTCTCTGAAAAAGAAGCTGTAGAGAGCAAGCTGGGCATGAGTTCTGGCAATACTGAAGGGAATTTAAGCCATGCAAGTCATTAAACTTGTTTTATGTCCTTGCTAGTGTTACTCTATCATGGAGAACCGATGGGTAAAGGTAACGGGAATGCCGTCAGCTGATACTCGTGGTGTTTTTCAAAGTGCTGAGCAAGAAGCAACTAACCTAAAGGTTAGATCATTAGAAGACGGATGTGATGCTTGCTTTATTGATTTCTACCTTATACTGGGGCTCTGTGTCACATCCATGCTTAAAGCTTGGAGGTCTCTTCACCCCAGAATGGAAATGTGAAAAGCTAAGCTACTTCCCACTCCAGCTGCAAGTTGATAGGATCCTCAAAGGCAAAGGATCTTCAGAGGAACAAAGGTTGGCTTGTGGAATGTATCTCTAAACCCCTGCACTGTGCACCACATACCAAGCCCTCCACTACTCCAGCTCTTCCATATGCACTTTAAAGTCCTGATCTGAACAGCTCAGATAACCTGGAGTCTCTGAAAACTTGTGCCAGGATACTTTCAGACAGAGAATCAGACTGTATGTGGAGGATCACAGGATCAATCTAAAGCAGCCTGGCTCATTGCCGTTTTTGGGGAGGTAATCACTTTGGGTCCTATTTATTTCAAGACCTACCTACATGAACCAAAATGGTTCAAGAAGGGAACAACCCTCCCGAAAACTGTCAGGAGTTAACCACAAGAAATTACATTTCATCCAGAAGTTAACGTCTCCTTAACAGGCACTTTGATCTTTGCTTACGGAGTCAGACTATTGCTAGAAAGAACAACTCGTTCTGCAGGACCGAGAACAGACCAGTACAGACTGCCAGATTTCTATAGCTGTTTGTGTTGGGATATACTATTAGAGTACCTGCTTGCCCTATAAAGATTATAGTTATTAGCAAAAGAAACTGCCATGTTTCCCCCTATTGCTCGCTACTTTCCCACTATTACAGGAAACCCAGGCAGTTTTCTAGCCAAGTCTTGGAGCAGAGATTTGTGCCACATTTAAGCAGCTGGGATTGTTTTCAACCATAATTTGTACAGCGAAGACATCCCAGTCGTAGTCTGTAGTGGATAAAAGAGACCTGACACCAGCACAGAAGTCATATCAACCAAGCCATTCACATTTGCAGCTCCTCAATTATACATTCCTCAGTAAAAGCTGCCTGAACTGCAGTTCTAGCACGCTCAAGTTCAGCTCCTTTGACTAAAGCCCAGAAGGGCCCAAAGGACAGACACCGGTGTTTGAACACAGCATGCTCTCCTGCCTTCCAGCACAGAGCATCGGATAGCTGAGGTTACAAATAATAAATGCTACACATGTTCAGTGTTAAGACTACAGTTTCTATTTCTTTTGTAAAAGTGTAAAGCACTAAGGACAACATCCTTTGGAGATGCAAAGCTAGCAGGCGACCGACCACTCATTCTATTTGACCAAGATGTTGCTGAGGGTTAAATTTTTCAGCAGTTCCTAGTAACAAACAAAAAGTATCCTTTGGCATTTACTAGGAAGGAAAGCTTGCCAGAGCTCCTACAGAAAGACAGGCAAACTGGAGCTCCCTGACAACAAGGCAGACATTTGTTACAGGTTACAGCTGCTGGTAGGATGGGGAAACCTCTAGTTTAATTAGAGTTTCAGGAACCCAGAGAGACAGTAGCAAACAGACAGAAATGTGAATAATAGACAGCACACTAGGTTTTCCAGAAAAGGTGAAAGCTGATTAATAGCTTAAGAGATTCACAGCATGAGCAGAAACATTAAAAAAGAAAAAAGGCCACCAAATCCAGACTTCATAAGGCAAAGAAAGGACCTTAAAAAAAAAAAAAAAATCAAGCCTAGCTCCAGACTAGACATCCCATAGGCTCCTTATCTTTGCAGATGACCAGAAAAGCCACAGAGAAACAAAACATTTATGGGAAGGGTAACTGTGGGCTCATATAAACTCAGGAACTCTGGGCAAGAACTCTGTCTAGCCAGCAAAGCAGTCACAAAGTCATAAGAGTATGTTCAGCAATCAGCTCAAAGCTCCCTTGAAACAGAAATAACGTTGGAGGCAGAACAAGAGCTCCCAATGAGACGATGTATTTTCATGCGTGACTTTTCAGGTTTTGGTGCTCATTTGCTCTTTTGTTTGAGCCATGTGAAAACAATCATTTATCAACATTATACTGATGGGGGAAGGCCTCTCAATGGCTTACAAGGAACTGGAACCAAGACATCTTTGTCTACTGCAATCCCGCCATAGCTGTACGTAGCTGAAGACTGAGTCAGCAGTGTGGCTACGTGCACCTCACAACTTGAGCACAAACATTCATCATTACTCAGTTATTTCACCACATTGCAGCCAGACTGAGATGCCCCATCGCTAGGAAGGATGAGTTTAACTCCTTCAGGCTTATTTACAGTAAGGAAGTGCAAATTATCCATGCCCTTGAGCAGTCCTCAAACTTCCTGCCCAAACAGATAGCAGAATGGCCGATTCCACGGCCTCTTCCCACCAGCTCT